TTCTTCCTGCCCAGAAAGCCTGTGTGCCAGCACGGCTGGGGCTGTGGTAGAGAGCTGTCATGTAGGGTATGATGAAGTGTCATAATTCTGTTCATAATTACTGAGAGCGGACTGTGCAGAGTCTGTGACTGACTTTTATTTGTGTGTGTGAAGAATCTTTTGTTTGTTTAGATAAACCATACCAAACGTAGCTTGGAATATGTGGTTTAACAGCTATGGTACGTGAAGCCTCTTCAAATATACTTGAAAAGATAATTGTAGAAAAACAGGGATCAGTGCATGAAAGACATTAGTATTCATTCCAGCAATTTCTACAAGAAACTGATATGTTTTTCTTTAATGAATATAGAAAGTGTTGATGATATGAAGATAGTGAGTTACCACTGGGAGGAAATTAAAGGTCCTTTGCGAGAGCAAAAGGCATCTGCTGACACACCTGTCTTGCACTTGTCTAACCTTGTTCCTGGGAACTACACTTTCAGGTACCTGCACAGATGCTTTCCTTTGGGGTTTTAACTATTTCTGTGATGTGAGCGAAATGTTTGTTTCTCTTGTGCTCACATATGCCACCTCAAACAACAACAAAAAACCAAACAATTTTTCTTATGCATGCTCTTAACCTTCATTTTGCACAGTGGAGAGACATAGGGAGCAACTTTATTAAAAAGTGCTTGCAGTGATTTTGTAATACTAGTGTAGTGATACATTACAGCACAAAGTTATGCAAAACACCGTTACCCCCCAATCCCCCCCCCGGCCCCTTCCATAGAAGTTGGCAAGTGTGCTGAGATGAAACTGCAGTTGGGCTGTGAAAGTCATCCCCTGAAGGGTAGTGGCAGGCTGAACAATACTGGGAGACTGATCCTTGCAAGGCATTGTTGTGCTAAAGAGTCATTTTGTTCTTCATAAAAGCCTTTGCTGTGCTACCGTTTCTCTCTATTCATTGCTGAAGCTGGATTTTGTCCAGACAATGGAAGCAACATTTTTGGTTCTGGGTGCTTTAATTAAAATCAGAGTTCATTTTCTGATTTTTTTTTAACTTAAAGCCTAATCTGCACAAAGATCCTGCTGATCCAGCCTGGGTTATTTGGCTGCTGGTGGGCAACAGCCTACTAGTCAATATATTGTGTATCAGTGTAGCATCAGCAGAATGTTGAAGTAAGCATACATATACGTTAAATGTGGTGCTTTGCATAAGCTTCAACAAAAATTGCATAACTTCAACTTTTATTCTGTGTTCTTTACTGGAATTGTTCCATATTGTATAGTGGCAGAAAGGAGCATAGCTTTTTTTTTTCTGTATTAAAAAGGGCAGAGCTTGCATACAAGCGATGCTCTCAAGTGTGTTCCAAACCCTAGGGAATTAAGAAATCAATTGCTGTATCTGTGCACCTTTAGGGAAGGCTGAGGTACTTGAACAGTGCGTTCAAGCTTACAGGAAATGAGCTGGTCAAAAAAATCCAGTGTTCCTAGTATACATGGATACACACCCACTGCAAAAGTATTTATTCCCTAATGATAGAATTAATGAGGACTAGTTTTGTTCCCACTCGGGAAAGGCTTCCAGAGTGGTTCCATTCCATGTGGACAGCTGTATGCGATTTTCAGAAGTGGTGAATTAGAGCTGTAGTCAGTTATCATACTGTTGAGGGCAGACTTTTCATCTCTTTTGTGATGAAAAATTGTGTTGTGACGCAGACATGTCTGCAGCAGGCTCATGTTAAAATGATTTGTCATTGTGTTTCTGAGAGGCAATAGTGGATTTTTTTAAACCTGTACTTTTTTAGTTTTGTGACTTGACATCTTCAAAAATGTGAGCTACACTAAAATTAGAGTGTCACAAAGCAATAAGAGTTTAAGAACTGCTGGTGTGCTATAAGCAGAGCTTCTGAACAGTCAGAGTAGTCTTGGATGTAGGTGATAACTGGGACTGTTACACAGTGGCTGATGAGTCAAATCCCTTGGTTTTTACTAAGTAAATTTTTTAAAGAATTCGCAGTGAGATCTGTTTGATGAAGTTGCCATTGACTGCAGGGAGAGGATTTCATTTGGGATCCAGAATAGCTAGGCTTTTTATTTTTTTTATTTTTTTTTTTTTCTTAAAGGTTGAAAGCTGTGGGATTTTTAAGAGTCTTCTGGATTTCTGTCCTACCTTAGTTGAGGGATATGTGTTTCTGAAGCAGAAGTTTATATAATATAATCAGTGGGTCTGTCTTAGGTGATGTTTGAAAAAGTGCCAGGAAAAGTTAACCTTTGAACTTAAGACTTAACAGAAGTCCATCTTAACAGATTTCCAATATTGTTTTTCCTGTTGTAGACTCACAGTGATTGATTCAGATGGAGCAGCCAACTCTACCATTGCATCTCTGAGTGTCAACAAACCAGTGGATTACCCACCTATTGCCAATGCAGGACCTAATCAGGCAGTCACCTTGCCCCAGAACTTCATCACACTAAATGGAAACCAGAGCAGTGATGACCATGAAATTGTCAGCTATGAGTGGTCGCTCAGTCCCAAAAGCAAAGGAAAGGTTGTAGCAATGCAGGTATACCTGTTTCTCCTTGCATAGGATTGGAAAACTCTTTCATTTTTGCCTCTCACACGGGCAAGTACATACCTAAGTAACTACTCAGAAGCACTCAAATATCTACAGAGCTGTTACTTTTTTCTGTTGCTCCTCTCTGATGTATTCAGCTACCACTGTAGATACTACTTTTAATTCCTTCTCTCTTTTTATACTTTGTGGCCATTTCTGATTCCTG